GCCGAAGCTTTTGCACAAATGTTTTATCGAGTTCGCGATTGCCCATATCGTATTATTTCTCTCTATAATAGTAAAAAGCCTAGTATTTTTAAAGAACCAAATCGCGATCTTATTCGTGCTGAACTTTCTGCTTTAAGACCTGGCGACTTGCCAACTGCTATAAAAGGACATCGTGAATGGAATAAAATTAATGACTGTTATACACTTGATTCATCTCCAGCCGTAGAGACTTATATTGAGGTCGAATATCAGAGACGCTTATCGGCTAAATACTTTCCTGAAATTCTTTGCAGTCTCATTGCTAGTACTGGAGCAACACTCGAGTTAATTTCAGCAGAAGGTACCAAAGTTGCTAGAAAAGAAGTTTCCAATACTATTAAGAAGATTGAGGAAAAAATCAAAGGCTCTGATGCAGAAGCAATAGTCAATGCACCTGATATCACCCCCTATGAAGCTGAAACTCTTAAGTTAAATCCTGAACGTTCTTTTGCTGATAATATGACTCTGCAACGACATTATTTGTGGAAAATATACGCTTCAGGTGATATTGGAGGTAGAGATGACATTCGAGACTGGGGTATAAATAATGATGATTGGGTTAAGCTTTGTGATATAGATTTCGTAAAAGAATATAATAATCCTGAATCTTTACAATATTTTAGAAGACTGGCATATTTCAGAAGACAAGGTTCTAATGCAACAAATTCTATAGAGAATCTAAAAAATAAAGAAGAAATGCAGTGGGAAGATTCACATGAATCTATGGATCCGTCCTCAGTTGATTTGCATAAATTCTATTCTTCAAAGCAGTGGGAAGCGGTACATAATCTTGTCCAATCGATAAGCTTTAGAGATATAGATGACACGAATATTCTTTCTGGTGACGATGTGGCAAAAGCTTTCGAACAATCACTGGAGAAAATCATTAAAATTCGAGAAGATGCTTTATTATTATTTGGTTTTAAGACCCGAGCCAAAGGAATACCTGATCTCAATGCTACAATAAAGTTCATTAATGCAATACTAGGTAATTGGTGCGGTTATACCATCAAGAGTAGAGAAACTCGTGTGGGTCCAAGAACTAATCGAGTAAGGAAGAAAACTTACTGGATTCATCGTGTGCCAGATAATGGTGCTGGTTTTACAACTCAAGAAAGAATAATGGATATGAAGTCACATGATCCTAATTATTACCCTACAGTTCCAGTTCTTCCACCATATAAACCTGAATCAGTCAATGAAACTCAAGAATTTTTCGATTCAATACCTGCTACTACTGATATAGCCATTTCAAAATCCAATAATGAGGTTTGTGAAAAGAGTTCTTACGATAACATAGTTGAAAAATCCGTAACAAATTTGCCACAATTGTCCTCTATAGTATTGACTCAAGATCAATCAAATAATTCTGAGCAATTCTTAAGCATTACTGAAGTTAAGAAAGAGTTACCTGAATCCTTAATTTCTCTGTCTTCAGAATTCCTTATTAGAAATGAATCTGATATAGAAACCCTTATTCTTCTTTTACAGCAAAAATTCCAAATGTCAAAAGAAAAGTTAGAACAATGGAGAACCAAGATTGCTTTTGAAATGCGGGATAATCAGAATTACTGGAAAAAAGAGCGCGAAAGTATGTGTGAGGTTGAGTTCTTAGAACATAAGCGCAAGTATGAGGCTAAAATGGGCGTCCCTACCACTCCACGTAAAAAAGAGCTGAAAAGTAAATCTTTGGCTCTTATCGAATATATATAGCCTAGCTAAATAGTAATTTCCGGAGCAGAGAGATTGCTACATTCAGCTAGTTATACATTTTGGGTAAGAGGGTTTTTGTCGACTCTTACTGTAAGTGCGGGAAAAAATTCAAATCAAAAATTAATATTTCGATACCTGGATCATATAAAGAGAGTTTTTGGGTCCCGGTGGATGGATCTCTTGCTCAATTCACGTATCTGCCAGATAAAATTTCACGTAAGTGCTAGAGGTATATAGGTAAGATAATTTAATCGATAACCGTTTTTGTGCCGTGGAATTTTGATCGAGGTGCACTTTTCAGTAAATAATACGTATTTATTCAAAAAAAATCATGTATGCGTGACAATTTGTCACGCCGATCACTTTTGCCAAGAAATTTGAGAGACCACGCAGTCCCGGAAAAATGTCAAGAAAAATTGGTGTCTAGTCAAGGTATAGCCACTATATAACCGATGTTTGATCGTTTCCTTGGGAAACAGTTTTTGGTGATTACTAATATTATAAAATTGTACTTTGGACAGATATCAAATAGGTGTAATTTTGACAGAAAATCGGTGTCCGGTCAAGGTATAATTATTATAGAAAGGGTGATTGTACTTTGGACAGATACCAAGTATATATGATTTTAGTAATATAATTCGAAGAAAATCGTTGTCCGGTCAAGGTATAATTACTATAGACATGAAGAGTATATTATTTTAGCTACATAATTCAAAGAAAAATCAGTGTCCAGTCAAGGTATAATTCGAAGAAAATCGGTGTCCGGTCAAGGTATAATTATTATAGAAAGGGCGGTTAAATACAAAGCATACTATTTTAACTACATAATTCGAAGAAAAAATCGGTGTCCGGTCAAGGTATAATTATTACAGATATATATATATAATAAAAAATTATGCTTTGGCCGGACACCAGGTAAGGATAACAATTCGGCACTACGTGCCTCAACCTTGATCGATACTCGAGTACATTATAACAGATAACAATTCGGCACTACGTGCCTCATTCTCGGGCGATATTCGGGTGCAATATGACAGATAACATTCGGCACTACGTGCCTCACCCTTGATCAGTATTCGAGTGAATCATATAAAGATCACGAATACTATTTCGGCACTAGGTGCCTCAAACCTGGCCCTCATAGAGGAATTGGTCAGAAAGCTAAGGCACTACGTGCCAGGTTCGGGCATAGCCCTCACATCGGGCCCACAAATGACGACACATGACTGAATGCATGGTCGGGTATATTTTTTTTACCCATGGCGGAAATCGGTCAGGATTTCCAAACCGGCATTCGATAGTTCACGTATATCCTAGCAACGGAAATTGATCTCAATCGAGAAACCGGCATATGATATGTCGCATGTGTCGTGACATACAAAACACGACACTAATTCGGGTATGGGATATATACCTCCCATGTGTCAAAAAATTTGGATCATGACACCCATTCGGGTGTGGAGTATATATCTCCCACGTGTCACAAAATTTGGATCACGACACCCTGATCTGTGTTATATTTCACAACCCATGACACATACCTGAGTATATTATAGTATAATCTAAGTAGTTAGTAGTTTCCAGGAAACTACTAACTACTTAAAAAGGAAAAAGAAGAAAAATTATTGGAATAAGAAGACAATTCAAGGCTTATCAAAAAAATCAAAAAATAAAAACAACTTCTTCTCAAAAAAGATCTACCTAATTGAAATAGTCTTTTTGTTTTATTTAAACTTTGAAGAAATTTTCTTTTTTACTACCTGTAACATCGAATAAGTCAATTTAACTAATTTTTTATTTAAGTGAGTATCAGATTGGAATATTTCAAAAAAAGTATTTAGACCTCAGCTTTTATTCATTAAAGTTTTGTCACTATTGAAGAAACTTAAATAAGAGATAGAAGTCTGTAATTCATATTACTTATTACTTAATTTTTTGATATTATGAATGTTTTTATTAAGGAACTTGGGTTTCTAGGAATTAATATTTCTAGAATATTTTTTTTAATCACCAATTATATTATTGAAATATATAGGTGTGATCAATAGAAACTTGTTTATATTCCAAAAACTAATATGTTTCATATTAGCCAATTACATTTGATAAGGATTTATGGTACCCAAAATTTAGGATCAAACTGAAACAAGCAAAATTCCCTAGAAAATCATGAAAGTGAAAGCTCTAAGAGGACTAAGATAGTTTAAAAGAAAGAAAATAAACCTTTTAACTGCAACAAACCTCTATAAACCTCTTGCTTCAAAGGTAGAAAGGTCTTCAAGTACTTCACAATCAGTTCTTCTTCCTCTGAGAATTTTCTTGCTGTTGATATCAAAGGTGTTACTTGACTTTTCTTGATTACTAGAAGTCAAGTTTTTGAGTGAAGAGATTTATAATCAAAAGGAGAAGAGTAGAGGTGACTCCTGATATTATACTTCAAGTTATTTTAAGGAAAGTGTTAAGACTTTATTAGAAAGGAAGTACAAAAATTTCTTTTGAACATCTTTTTTGTGTGTGATCAGAGGATCAGTGGAAATAGCTTTTTTTTTTTTTTATTTCTGTATTAAATTGTATCGGTACTATGTATACTTATGTACATATATGAATTTTTCTTAAATTGACGAAGGCTTATATGGTTAGACCAATAAGGATTTAAACAGAATAATCTGCTTTAACATAAATTTTGAGAAAAGTCTTATACGCATATAAAGGAAGGTGATTTTCAACGGAAACATAAAGGGCATGCTATTTGATATGAAAAAGTTCGAACGTCGAAAATTTATCCCGAGTAGATTTTTTGATTTGAAAGGCGAATAGGCATTTTAACATTTCTCTATGCATACGCGTTACTTCACTAGAATATAACGAGATTCTATTTTCATTTCTTCTTGTTAAGAAAAACCGGGTTCAATCTTCTTCTATCCATTTACTCAGCATTTCTTTAAGTTGTAATATCTTTAATGGCTTGTAAGAAAGTCATTCATCCCCGATTCAAGGCATTTTTCTTTGGAACCTTGAATAGCCGAAGCCGTTAATGCAATAATTGGTATTTGTGACATTGAAGATTCCATTGCTCTTATGACCTTTGAGGCGTCAAATCCTGACATCACTGGCTGCAGTAGATAAATTAGTCGTAAAATAATGAAACAATGTAATCGAGTGAGTGGAAGATCGTAACCGCTTACCATCGCACAATCCATCAAGATCAAAGAGATTTTTTCGTGGTGACTGGAATGGGGAGACGAGGATGAACCTTCATTATTTGAGTGAGTGGTGAAATCAGTTATTAAATCTACAGCTTCTTGACCGTTTGTCGCAGAAATTGATTGATATCCGAGTTTTGTGAGTTGATGTTGTAAAACCTTTAAGTTTATGGGATTATCTTCCTACAAATCATAAATTTTAGTTAAACGAGTTTATGCATATTATGATAGGTTAAGAAGAAACCTACCACGCACAATACGCATTTCGACCTTGAAGTAGGACGCGTCCTTGATTTTAACACGTGACCATGATCATCGAGAGTTTTTCCATCCGCAAGAGATATTCTTTTTAAGGAACCAGAAGAATTATCAGGAGTTCTGACTTGATCCACCCTATCTTCTCCATCAATTAACATAGCAGTAACTTCGGTATTATTTGCATTTATACGAGTAGACAAATCTTTTTCTTCGCTTATACGGGTTGAAGGTTGATAATATTCTTCTGATTTAATGATGCTATGAGCATGAAGCTTGTTAGATGTTGAATTAAAGTTTTCAATGTCATGTAGGCAATCTAATATTCGTTTGTGCATAATGGGTTTATATAATGTGGTAATTCGGCCCCCAACTTCCTTCATTATTTCTTCTCCTAAAATACGCCCTTTAGTGGACCAAAAAGCCATTAAGACTATGCGCATATGATCTCCGCATAAGCTTCTTAGTTCATTTGCTGCTTTTCTGATATCATATACATTGTCTTTGTGAATATTAAAGAACGCGAGATCATATAGTTCATTATGTTCTTTCCACGGTTTTGCGGATGTAACACCGTTTTCAATTGTATTAAATGCTCTAACTTGTTTAACATGATCGCTAAGAAATCTGACTAAGGCACTACGAGCTGCATCAACGGGATCAATTACAAGGACACGTTTGGATCGTATAGTCGGAGAAAATGGCAAGTTAAATGACATAGGCTGTAGCGGCTCGAAATTCCAAGTAAACCAGAATCGACTCCCTTTTCCTAATTCACTTGTGGCACCTATCTGACCCCCGTTCATAGTTACCAAATGTTTGCAAATCGAAAGACCCAGCCCTGTACCATCCTGGCGTCTTGTTATTGAGGCATCCGCTTGTGAAAAGCTTTCCCACATATGTTTCATGAATTCTGGATCAATGCTAAAATGGCAGGGTGAACATAAAATCACAATAATAATTTAATGTTTAGAAAATAAGTACATAGATTAATTACCCAATACCGGTGTCAGTTAATTCTACGTATAACGTGCAATTTTCCTTTACGTCATTCTCTCCAGTCACGAATTTATCGGAAGCCATTGAAACCTTGAGAATTATTTCTCCCGTTTCCGTAAATTTTACACTATTACGTAAATGGTTATAAAACGATCTCGGAGTTAGATCAATAACCTTAATGGAAAAAAAATAATAATAAAAGAATGATAATTATCTTACGAATTAGATAGCAAATTCATTAGAACTTGTTGCAGCCTAATTATCAAAAAATATATATACATATATGGATATATGCATATGTTGCATATATTATTTAATCATATTTCGCGGGCATGATATATTTTATAATACGTATACGTATACAGTACCTATCGGGATCTGACTTTATATAGTTTGGCAGAGATTTATATTCATAGCATAAGATCAATTCAAGTTGCTTGGCTCCAGCTCTTTCTCCAATTATGCTAATAGTTTCCTCGACCACATGGAGTAGGGCAAAGTCTTTGTCTACGAGCGAAATTTTTTGAGCTTCAAGTTTTGCTGCGTCAAGAATATTATTAACCACGGAAAGAACAACTTCCGATGTACGTGTCATTATTTGAACCATGTCCTCTTGATCTTTAGTTAGCGGAGTGCCTTCAAATGCTGACAATACCCCTATAATCGCACCTAGCGGTGTTCGAAGTTCTGTTATAAAATTTGGAAGATTAACGAGTAAATAAATGTTTAAACCTTCATCGAAAAAGGGAAATGCGAATGACTACCATGAGAAGTATTGGCTAAAATTTGCCCCTTTGCTTCGTTAGCTGCTCTTGCAGCTTCCATCTGAGCCTCATTTTTTAATTTTTTCTTCCATAAGCATTGCGTGTGTTGCCGCTATGCCAATTTGATTTCCAATTTGTTGCATAAAGACCTTCTCAGAATCCGACCAAGTTTTATCTGGCGGCCTGTTAGAAACGATCCATCCCCACAACGATGATTTAGCTCTGATTGGCACAGCGATAGTAGAAACATAACGGCCAAGTTTATTCGAATAGAAATTCTCTTTTAAGAGATATTCATCATGATCTACAAACGCATCTTGAAGCGTTTTAAGTGATCCTTCCATCTCGGAAGAGTTTCCGATATTATATCTTTGGTATAGTTTCTGAAGGAATTTTTCATTCTTATTAAATGTGTATGGTATGATCCTTCCTGTTGGATTTACTTCATTTGGATCAGAGGATGAGAAAGCCATCACGAGAGCAAGATCTGGGTTCACGGAGTCTGTTTTAACAAGAAATATTCTCTCGCAGGGCATTAATATCATTATTTTCTCGATAGCTATAGTTATGGTTTCCCCTATATCGAATCCAGAGCGAATCTTCTCGCTTATAAAGAATAACAACTCACTAGTATCCGATTGTTGTTTTTGCTGCAGAAAGAGCTTTTGACGAAGATGCGAGAATGTGATATTGACGTTGATTCGAGCAATTAACTCCTTTTCACTGAATGGTTTGACCAAATAGTCATCTGCCCCTTGCTCCAATCCTAGAAAGAGAATACCCTTTTAAGTATATATATTAATATTGAACAAAAGGTAAGATCAAATTTGAACTGTGATATTTTTAACCTTTGACGTTAGCTTCTTCACCCGCTCTTGCGGACAAAAAGATCACGGGAATTAACCGAGTTGCCGTGTTAGATCGAAGTTTCTTTATTAATTCGAAGCCATTCATATTTGGCATCATGACGTCTATTAAAATATATTTGTCGGAAATTCAATATGTACAATCAATCACATCATGCACAACATGATGTTTCTTACCACTTAAAATAAGGTCAGGTAGTTTTGGATGTTTCTTTAATATCTTTAATGCGTCACGACCGTCACAAGCGCTGTGTATTTTAAATTTCTTTTTTAATATCTCACAGAGATAATTTCTTACCAAGATAAATTGATAATAATACTGTAGTTAGAAGCGTAATATAGAATTGATCAGAGATGTGTTGACTATTATAGCAAGCACCTCATGTCCGTATTATCATCGACGATAAGGACGAGATAGAAGTTTTCACAAACATTAGTTGTACCATCATTGCGTATCGAAGGCATGAGAGACGTAAGAGTGTGGTGTACGCTTGAACTTTTCCCATCGGATGTTGAGTCGTTCAAAGTGTCTGGGGCATCCAGGTCCATAGTATCACTATCAGGAGCATTTTTTATCCATTGATGCGATTCCTCAAGATAAAGATCTCGACCATCTAATGGGCACTTGACTAACGGATTTATCTCAAATTCCTCATCCACAAAATAAACCTGATTTTCTGGTAAATGTGTCCAGCCCGTCGGGAGCGATATACGGAAGGCGGTGCCCTTTTTAACTTCCGAGTGTACAGAAATTTCACCGCCATGCCTTATCACCAACTCTTTTACAAGTGCAAGTCCTATTCCGGTACCTTCGTAACTACGTGATTGGTTTGATTCCACGCGATAAAAACGTTGAAATAGATTTGGAATATCCTTTTCTAGAATTCCGACACCTTTTGGCATAACCCCAATGACCAGTCAAACACAAATCGCCGTAGATACTTGTACGTACAAATATATTTACAGTATATTACTATCAGAATACCTGTATCACAAATCTCCAGCATTACCACTTCTCTTCCGTCCTTATCATCCGGGTATAAACGAACTGTAACACTTCCCGTCCACGTGTACTTAAATGCATTTGAACCTAAAATGGTACATGATATGAATTATTTTAATATACAGTACATTCAATTGATGGACACATAATGAAAAAAAAAAAAAATTACTTACATAGGTTAAATAGAATTTTTTCATACATGTCTCTATCGATAAACACTTTATGTTTTAATTTACCATAGAACTCTTCCCGACTCGGAATTTGGATTAAATAGTCTAACTTTAAAGATTTTGCCATGCCCTCGAAACATGAAGTTAACTCGAGGGTGTATTTTACAATGTCGGTCTCCCGAAATTGCGCTTCAAGTTTACCCGATTCGATTCGCGAAAACTGCGGATGTTTTACGAGGAAAACGTAAATGAAAAGGAATTTATCATACTTGTGCAATTACTTCCTTTTTTTTTTTTTTTTTTTTAATATTAACCTGTAGTAAAGTATCAACAAGTTTAAGCAGTCGGCGGGCGTTTCGGTTAATCATTTGTAGCTTTTGCAGAATTGATAATTCTGGGGGACAAACTTCGATCGACTCTTCAAGCGGTGAAAGCATTAACGTCAATGGTGCTGTCGGCGGATTAAAATGATTTTAATTTAGTATCCAAAAGTATTTTTGGAAGCAAATTTCTAAATTCGGGCTCTCACTTCTTAGTTCGTGGCTAATTTTTTGGAGAAACATTATTTTTTGTCGATTCAAATCCGCTAAGATTTCCGCCTGTTTTCTCTCCTCTTCGCGTGATCGACCATTTGTTAGACTCGAACTCACATGACTAACGGCAATCTTGACGCGGAATAAAAAAATTTGATCACTGAATTATGGTAGTTAACGAATACCAATCTCAATGAAATCACGCTAGAATCCAATATGAACATGTAAAAATTCCAAATATTCCCGATCTAAAGCTAGATACGGATTCAAGCCGCAAATTATTATCGCAGACAAGATTGTTTTCCCTGCAAGAGATGTGCGCACCGGCAAAAGGATTGACCTGGTATCATTCTTTAATGTGATAACAAGTTGAGAATTTAATTCTACTACTTGTTTTATTGACCAAGTAGATAATTTAGAATCGTTCGCATTTAGCGTTAATAACGTTCCTTGATCATTAGAAAGCTTCTCTCTCTGACTATCCCCGTCGGCTTGGAGATCCACTATATCTAATGTCTCAGGCAAGAAGTTTGGCAATTTCCTTGTTAATTTTCCTTTAATGAAAGTTAATTCTTCAACTTCTTCGTCTTTCACCGTTTCAAGACCCTCGTCAAATGTTGTGGCTATCAGGCGCGCTTCTTTGCCACATATACCATGGTTTTTATCACAATTCTCAATAATGTAGATAAGTGAAAAAGTGATATCTTCATTAAAATCACGTAACGTGGAAGTCACGAGATGACAAGCACTCTCCATTGTTTTCGCACCTAAGACACTTACTGTAAATACTGTATGCAAATACTGTAAATGTTAAATTACTGTTAATACATACCGGCTGTTCTATTTCCTAATTCACCTAAAGTTTTTAACCTTCTAGCGACCAAAACTCGTTGCGTTGTTTCTTGAACAGCGTTAAATACGCCACCAACAGTTCCGTCCTCTTTGAATATGGGACTTAGAGTGAATGAGAAATAACATTCTTCGGTATGACCATCTCGGTTCATTAATAAAAGAGTATCATCTTGGAATTGACCCTTCCCGTTAGAAAAAACCCTGGTTTTATAAGTTTATTTGTTATTGGCTTCTAAATGACATTTACTTTTTATTTATATTATTGTATGACATAAAAAAGGGAATAAATAAATGCCCACTCTTTAAGCCACACATCTAAAGAATCAAAAATTTCAACCCAAGCTTCTCTCGCAGGAGAACCTAACGCTGGAACAATCCGTCAGATTCATAATTTGCGCGAACTTAATGTAAATACTATTGACCCTTGTCAACCTAATCAATTAACTTTTTAAAAACGAGTACCTGCGGGATGTTTCATTTTTAATATATTCCTATACACTACACAAGTTAAGGGTGATTAAAAGTTACGGTAAATGGAATGAATTCACGAGAATCAAGTTTACTCGCTTTGGTTATATATCAAAGTATATTCTGGTCCATAATATAGTACGATAGGGAATTCAGCATGTAAACATAAGTTCTGTGATAATGAAGGAGTCACTTACGCGTTCTTTAGAATTAAAAACACAAGAGTATACGTTATTGTTTTAACTGAAAACGTACCACCATCGTCCTCAAGTAAGGGCTCCAAGAATCTATAGGGCCCAGGGGAGTTGATGACCAGTCGAATGAATAAACAAGGTCGGATACCGGAATTTCATCGGAATAAGCATTGGATGAGGTCAATTCCGGAATTTCATCCTTCATCAACGCCATTAAGATGGGGACTAGGAATATAGATATGGATTAAAATATAAGTTGAGTTTGAAGAGAATCCGATAACAATATAAACATTTCAATAAGCAGTAAATAAAATAATGTAACTAACTGACTTTCTATTTACGATATTTACGATCAAATCACAATGACGCACGGGCTTTATAGATTTCTAGAATTGCTTTTTGTTTAGAAATAACTCCCTGTTACACTGCGTTAATTACTAATCTAAATAAATTCTCGACACGGATTACGTACTGTATAACTTGTTTCGAAATGAAAATAAAAGAATAATATAGAACACATCGGTTCATGTACAATCGGAAACAACTTATGAATCCGCACTCGGACTTATTACCGTACATACATAAAATCCAACATTTTTTAATATTGACCTAAGATTAATGGACTTGCACCATATTAGATAAGCAAGCACTTCGGAGTGAATGATGTGGCTACGTGACAGCATAAACGATTTACAGTAGTTCCAGACCAATACGTAATTTAAGATAGGATCATCTGACATGCGCCCTGACCAAAGGGGTTGTAACAACCAATACGTATATAGAAGGTTTAATAAAGATTCTTACATTAAGTTCTTACAATTTTTTCTAATAATAAAATTAAAGAAATTTAATCAAATATTTACTAAAAGTACATAAACCTTAAATATTTCGAATGAGATATATCTCAAGGTGACATATAAGAAAAAAAAAAAACTATAAGTCGGACATAACATTTTGACAAATGTTTGATAGAAATACAGTAAAGGAAAAAATAATACTTAATTAAAATACATAAATGGAAGAACAAAGGTTTCGTTGAGAATTACATAATCATACTTAATCTTAATTTTCTAGCCATTTATTCAGCATTTCTTTGAGTTGCAATATTTTTAAAGGTTTCGTAAGGAAATCATTCATCCCTGATTCGAGGCATTTTTCTCGTGAACCTTGAATAGCCGACGCCGTTAGCGCAATGATTGGTATTTGTGATATGGGTGATTTCATTGCTCTTATGGTTTTCGAAGCATCATATCCCGACATTACTGGCTGCAGTATATAAATTAAATTATGTATATAAACCAATAAAAAATGCCGAAGTCATAATAAACGTTTACCATTGCACAATCCATCAAGATCAATGAAATTTTTTCATAATTATTTGAGGGTGAATTGGATGATGTGGATGCGTCTTGATCATCTAGATAGTTAGAAATCTCTGTTACTAAATTTACAGCCTCTTGTCCGTTTGTTGCGGATAATGATTTGTATCCGAGTTTCGTGAGCTGATGTTGAATAACTTTTAAATTTATAGGATTATCCTCCTATGGCATAAATTATTTACCATTAAACAATGTACATATCATGCAATAATGTTTTAAAGAAAACTTACCACGCATAACACACACTTTGATCTTAAAGTAGGACGCGTTCTTGATTTTACTACGTGATTATAATCAATAGTTGTGTTCTCTCCATCCTCGGAAGACATCCTTTTTAGGGATTTTATTTTCAATGACTTATCTAAAGTTATATTTAATTTTTTGTTTCTTGATTCACCATCAATCATCATAGTAGTAGTATCTTCATAATTTTCATTTATCCTTAAACTATCTACGGACAGATCCTTGATATGGGGCAAAGATAGATTGTCATTATCCACTCTTAATTCTATTGACGGTTTAACGATTCTATTAAAATTAAGTTTGTCATGCGTCGAATTAAAAATTTCGCTATTATACAAGCAATCCAATATTCGTTTATGCATTATAGGCTTATGTAACGTGATAATTCGACCTCCAACTTCTCTCACTATTTCTTCCCCTAAAGTACGCCCGCCAGTTGAACAAAAGATCATTAGTGCTATGCATAAGTGATCTCCACATAAGCTTCTTAATTCCTTTAATGCCTTTTTAATATCATCCGGATTATTTTTGCAAATATTAAAAAATATAAGATTATATGTTTCGTCGTGTTGTTCTTTCCAAATTTTTGCGGACGCAACACCCTCTTCAACCGTGTCGAATGCGTCAACTCGTTTAACTCGGCAATCAATAAACTTAACTAAAGTGTTACGAGCTATAGGAACAGGATCGATCACAAGAACGCGTTCAGATCGGGCGGATGGATAGAATGCTAAGTTAGGTTGATTTGTAGGTAACGGCCTAACATTCCAAGTAAACCAAAACCGACTTCCTTTTCCCAGTTCACTCGTGGCTCCTAACTCTCCTCCGTTTATGGTTACCAGATGTTTACAAATTGAAAGACCTAATCCTGTACCATCATGGCATCTCGTTATTGTGGCATCTGCCTGTGAAAAGCTTTCCCATATATGTTTCATAAACTTAGGATCAATACTAAATGGAAAGCGTAAATATCAAATTATAACAACAATTCGATACGTATGCTAAAAACTATAATTTGCACTTAATAATTACCCAACACCAGTATCAGTTAATTCCACATATATTTTGGTGTGATCCTTAATCGCAGATTTATTAGAAGTAGCCATTGAGATCCTAATTACTATTTCCCCAGTTTCGGTGAATTTTATACTTTAAATTAATGATTATAAAAAAATTAATATATATATATAATATAAATTAGTCAAGGGATAATTGCTAAATGAAAACCTACGAATTGGACAGCAAATTTATAAGGACTTGTTGCAACCTAAATATTAAAGAGGATTATTCAATAATATTCGATGAAATGTAATATTCTACATACTATTGATCATACCTATCCGGATCAGAGTTTACATATTTTGGCAGAGAAGTATGATCGTAGCGTAAAATTAATTCAAGTTGTTTAGCTCCTGCCTTTTCTCCAAGTATGTTAATAGTTTCCTCAACCATATGGAGAAGGTCAAAGTCTCTATTTACGAGCGTAACCTTCTGTGCTTCAAGCTTTGCTGCATCAAGAATATTTCCGATCACAGAAAGAACAGCATCCGATGCACGTGTCATTACCCGAACCATCTCTTTCTGATCTTCAGTTAACAGAGTATCTTCAAATGCCGATAATAATCCTATTACCGCCCCTAACGGCGTTCGAAGTTCTGTTGAATAATTTGACATGCGTTAGAGCAAGAAATAATAATGATTATAAAATAAATAAATAAATAAATAAATTATACCATGGGAAGTATTGGCTAGAATTTGTCCTTTTGCTTCGTTAGCTTTTTTTGCGGCTTCCATTTGAGCCTCCTTTTTTAATTTTTCTTCCATAAGCATTGCATATGTAATTGCCAAGCTAATTTGATTTGAAATTTGCTGAATAAAGACCTTCTCTGAATCTAACCAAGTTTCATTTGGCGCTCTGTTAACAACTATCCATCCCCATGCTGATGAGTTTGTTTTAATCGGCATTGCAATGATTGAGACGTATCGGTCAACCACGTTGGAATAAGTATTTTCTATTACAATATACTCATTACTATCTATTAATGCATCCTGGAGCTTTTTAAACGCCTCGCCGCCCGTTTCAGAAATATTATACTTTAAATATAATTTCTGAATATCTTTTTCGATTCCACTTTTATATAATGAATATGACACAATCCTTCCCACTAAATTTTGTTCATTTGGATCGGAGGCCGAGAACGACACTATATGACCTTCACCTGAATCAACTGAATCTACCTTAATGAGAAATATTCTCTCGCAAGGTAATATTCTACCAATTTCCTCACTAGCTATAGATAATGTTTTTTCCACATCCAGTCCAGCGCGGATCTTCTCACTTATTGAGAATAATAACCCTCGAACCTCCGACTGCTGTTTTTGTTGTAGCAAAAGTTGTTGACGAAGATGTGAGAGCTTAATATTGGCTTTTATTCGAACAATCAAATCCCTAACACTAAAAGGTTTGATTAGATAATCATCTGCGCCTTGTTCTAATCCTAAAGAGAAAAAGAACAAGGTAAATAATAATCTCTGTAAATAAAGAAATGTAAAATAATTTATTCGTTGACCTTCTACGCTAGAATCTTCACCCGCTTTGGCAGATAAAAAGATCACAGGAATTAACTGAGTTACCGGATCAGATCTAAGTATCTTTAATAATTCCAATCCGTCCATATTTGGCATCATAACATCTGCGTATTAAAAGTCAAAACTTTTTTGGTTATTATTATAAACAAAAAATATGCGTTTAATACGTTATTTACCACTTAGAATTAAATCAGGTAGCCTTTGAAGGTTCTTCAATATCCTCAAGGCGTCACGGCCGTCAAAAGCGCTGCATACTTTAAATTCCTTTTGTAATAAGCCATGGAGATAATTTCTTATTGTGAATATTGATTATAATAGCTTAGTCGAGATTACAAGGAGGTTTAGTAAATAAAAAGAAATATTAATATACCTCATGTCCGTATTGTCATCGACAACAAGAATGTGATAGGTAGCTTTACGTGCATTCGATATATCGTTATGCAGCGAAGGAAAAATTGTGTGCTGAATGTCTGTCATTTTATTCCTTAACGTTGAATTGTTCGAACTCGCGCAATCTAAGTTTGTAATGCTACCCGCGTGATCATTATTGGATAAATAATTATCGAAAGATTCACCATCGAGATCATTTTGTATCCATTGGTGTGATTCTTCAAGATAGAAATCCCGTCCATCGAATAAACATTTTTCCATTGAATTTATCTCGAATTCATTACCTTCAAAATATACTTGTTTTTCTGGCAAATGTGCACAACCTGTCGGCAGCGATACGCGGAAAGCGGTACCCTTTTTCACTTCCGAATGTACTGATATCTCACCATTATGCCTCATTACAAGCTCTTTTACAAATGCAAGCCCTATGCCAGTACCCTCATAGCTACGAGATTGGCTTGACTCTACTCGATAAAAACGCTGAAATAAATTTTCAATATCTTTTTCCGGAATTCCTACACCTTTAAAATAATTTCGTTAATGTTAATTCAGATACATATAAGTACTCGCTTTGCCATTAAAATACCAGTGTCTGCGATCTCCAATATAACCATTTCCCTTCCATCCTTGCTATCCGAATATAAACTAACTGAAACACTTCCCGTCCAAGTGTGCTTAAATGCATTCGAACCTAGAGTAGCAAATTGCCAATAGTTAATATTAATGATTTGTTGATTACAGTGAGACATCCGAGAAGAACATTACTCACATAAATTAAACACAATTTTTTCATACATATCTCTGTCAATAAATACTTTCTGTTTTAATCTACTATAAAATTCTTCGCGACTCGGAATTTTAATAAAATAGCCTAGCCTTAACGATTCCGCCATGCTTTCAAAACATGAAGCTAACTCGAGAGTATATTTCACGATGTCCGTCTCTCGAAATTGAGCTTCCAATTTGCCCGATTCGATTCGTGAAAACTAGGTTTAAAAAATGAATAGATGAAAGAAAAGCCATGACATTTGTGAAAAATGCTTTTTAAATACTAACCTGTAACAAAGTATTAACAAGCTTAAGTAGTCGACGGGAGTTTCGATTAATCATTTGTAGATTAAAACGAATCGGTGATTCAGGGGGGCAAGCATTGATTGACTCTTCAAGTGGTGAAAGCATTAACGTTAACGGCGCTATCAACCGATCGATCAATAATTTAATTTAATAATAATTTGACGCATACTTAAAATTGGAATTTTGATCCTTACTTCGTAGTTCATGACTAATATTTTGGAAGAACATTATTTTTTGACGATTTAAGTCGGCTAGAATTTCGGCTTGTTTTCTATTCTCTTCGCGTGATTTGCCATGCGTTAAGCCTGAACTCGCATGACCAGCAACGAGCTTTAAGAAGCACATAGGGGATGAATTTAATCAGTCAACGAACACAGATAAATTGCATAAATTTAATACAAACATGTAAAAATTCCAAATATTCTTGATCTAAAGCGCGATTCTGATTTAAGCCACAAATAATTGTAGCAGTTAATGTGGTTTTTCCCGCAAAAGACGTGTGTACCGGTAAAAGAATTGCCTGCGTGTTGTCTTTTAATGTAACGATTAGTTTGGAATTAGATTTTACCACTTGTTCCACGGGCCAAGCAAGAGGTTTTGTGACAGACGAATCTAGGGTTGATTTCAACAATTCTTCCTGATTGTTGGTAACTAAATCATCGTCATTGAGTTGGAGATTTATTATTTCAAAAGTGTCTGGCAGGAAGTCTGGTAGTTCTCTTGTTGATTTTCCTTTAATAAAAACCAATTCTTCAATTCCATCATCGCCTTTTACTACATCAAGGTCATTATCAAAGGTTGTGGCTACAAGGTACGCCTTTTTACAATTTAGATTAAGTTCTTTTTCATTATTCTTAATGATGTATATAAGTGAAAACGTGATGTCTTTATAATAATCTCGTAATGTAGATGTTACGAGGTGGCAAGCACTTTCCATCGTTTTAGCACCTAAGGTTATATGAATTGCGTAAGTATCATAAATAAAGTGTTCAGCCGCATATTAATACAATATATACCGGGCGTTCGATTCCCTAGTTCACTTAGAGCTTTTAACCTTCTATCGGTTAAAACCTGTTGAGTTGTTTCCCGAGCAGCATTAAACACGCCACCAACAGTCCCGTCCTCCTTATATATAGGACTGAGAGTAAATGAAAAATAACACTCTTCCATATAGTTATCTCGGCGCATCAGGACGCAGGTATCATTCTCGTATCGACTCTTTCCGTGATAAACTATTCTAAATTTATATGTCGAATCAATTGACATCTCTAAAATAAATATTTACATAATGAATATATATATTTAAGAGTAGATATATACTCCTCAAGCTTCGGTCCAAAACTGTCGAAAAATTCTTTAAAAACTTCACTTGCAGGAGATCCTAACGCTGAATTACCAGATCCAGAAATGAATGTGAAAAAAATTTTTTTAGCGCTGTTAACATAATCAGCTTGTTAAAATCGCGTCTGAAAGATGATACCTGCAGGATGCTTCATTTTTAATATTGGTCTATATGCTATATGAAACAAAAGTTAAGAATTTTTCATTTGTAATGAGGTGCAATGTATTTTCTTGAAATTAATTAATTACTTTGGTTATATATCATAATATATTTCGGGCCATAAAACATCGTGATGGGAAATACAGCATTTAGACATAAATCCTATTCCACCGTACATAGAAAAGTAATTTGGATTTTAGATCTTTCTTTGGATTTCCACAAAAATTTATAGTCAATAGCTCAGAGCGTACCACAATTGTTTTCAGATAAGGGCTCCAAGAGTCCATAGGACCCAGGGGAGTTGATGACCAGTCGAATGAATATACAAGGTCGGATACTGGAATTTCATCGGAATAGGTATTAGGTGGAGGCAATTCTGTAATTACATCTTTCGTCAACGCCATTAAAGAAGAGGGATAATATAAAGTTACAGTATGACCGAATTTCTATTTACGATATTTATGATCAAACAAAATGACGCTCGAGCACACTTCCATTACATAAGTCTATATATAATTTCTTATTGGACAAGCATAAATAAATTCTGGCCTCAGAAAATAAAAAGACTTGTGTCCTATTAGATAAGCATTCTGTGTGAACAATAAATGTGGAGCGAATGACGTAACGACATTGTGTTACGTGACAGTACCGTTAGTTTAAAAATTGTTAAGAATATACTTTTATTTTTGATTGAGAAATTAAATATACAAACATTGACTTTTTTTTTTTGTAACCATAATCTTCAAACGTGACATTCTACCCCTTTTTCATTGTTTATTTTTTTGACCCCTTAAACACCGTGTTTAAAATTTTTCACAAAAAAAGAAACCCACTCGTACCCAGCTAAACTGATGAAGATAAAGAAAAAATATTGGGTTTGAGTGAGCACCTTAGTACTGAGAAAATGGCACTGAGTATGGGATGCAACCCTATCACAATATGATGGTTTCTTCACAAGTATAGAGACTGGAAAAGTGGAAAATCATTCACAGTCTAAAAGATCACAAATTCTAAAGAAAGAAGAAAAGGAAGCATTTGTGCAAGAAACTATCATAGCATGACAAAATTTTACATAAAATTTTTAAAGACTTAAAACTTAAGTGCAGTTTATTTATTGTCAAAAATATATTTCATAATGTTTAAATCTATTCATAATAGTTGCCAAGAAATCTTATATTTTGGAAAATTGTGCAAAGACATGTTACTGATGTGAGAAATATTAAGAAAATTGGCTATACAATTGGTGATAAATTATTTTCTCTAATAAAATAAGTATAGAAATTGACAAACAATCAAAATAGATATACCGTATATTTAATAATATACAAAAGAAAAATGCAATTTACTGTATATTGTTTAATATTCACTTTCAAAAATAGATACCATTCAGTTATATTTGGAAATGCTTTATAGGATAAGTTAAAGATTATTAGTTTTTTGTGATTATTTCAAAAAAAAAAAAATCAATAAAAAATCAATTTCAAATATTTATTTTTAAATTTTAAAAACTTGGCTTTTATAATTAAAAATATGATATAACAATTAATATAAACAAATCTTTTTTAACAGAATAATGCACTTATTTGTTCTGCAAGAATTATTTCAAATTGGTTCAATATCAAAAAAAATTGAAATAATTAATTAGCCAGCAAACTCAACAGACCTAAACTTAATAAAAAAACATCAGAAAGCTATTAAAAAATAATGTATAAAGATGCAAAATTTTAAAAAACAGTTAGTAATCTAAAAATTGTTTTGACAAAAAAGTGAAAATAATACAATATCTCTATTTTTTATAATATTTTACACTTAATAATATGACAAATCAATTCTATATTATAAGTAGAGAAGGAACTAATCAAATACTAATTAAAAAATTTTTTTAAAAAATATATAAAATAAAATAAAATATAATTCTATAAAATTTTAATTCCAATTTTAAAATTGTATCTTACTTTTTAAGGTGACTAAACCAATGCTACAATATTAAATTTTTATAGTTAATCATAAAAGTAGTCAACATAATTTATTAAGTAATAATATTAATATATCAATATTAATAATATATTTAAAAATATTTTAAAAAATAATTTTTAATTAATCAAGTAATATTATTGCTTTCAATAGCTTAAACTCTTATATCTTATTATAAATTTAAGCATTAATTTTTTTATTATATATATATTTATTTTTATTTATTTTATCATATTTTTTATTTTTTAAACTGAAACTAGTATTATACAATATGTGATATTTTTATTAATAGTAACAATACTGTCATTATATCAATTATATTATTTTTTTTTATATATTCGTATCCAGGTTGATCATAGTTTATTAATTAAGTAAAAACATAAATATACTTTACTTGAACAATATGATACATAATATAGCTAAATATTTATATTAAACCTAACAAACTTATCATAACAATACCAACCTTTAAGTTTGGCTTTGAGAACAATATTTTATTCCATAATGATCTTTGAATAAATACTCCCCTAGTCTATTACTTAATCACTAGCAAGTTGTTATTACTAAATGTTCTATTAAGCTATTGAAATACAAAAAGTTATAAAAGAATGGATTGATAAAAGAAAAAAGGAAATATTTAAAAATATCCAAATGGACTGCAAAAAAAAAAAAAAAGAAAAAAAGAAAATAAAGTTTGTTAACTTTCTCTAAAAACCTATTCCGAAAGACTTTTTTTCAATAAGAAATACTCAATTGAGATATTTTTTCCTTTTTTGACCATCTGAGAAACTTATTTATTCTTGATATTAATTTCCTTTTCATATAATATTTGTAAAAACTTTTTACCTAGTAAAAGCCTTTACTCTTAGAATATACTTAGTTCTAATTTTCTTTAAGCAGAAATTTTTTATTTATTTACAGTAAACATTCAATTTATAATAAACTCCAGATTCTTATATAGCTCAGTAAAAACTGAACCATGTTGTTTCAGTATAATATTTTTCAGTAACTATGCATAATTAAAGTAATTTTATTGATAAATATCTTCTATTATTCAAAACGTCAGATTCCTTAACAATCTTTTTGCCTTGTAATAATGGAAAGTATCATAGTATCAGAGATTCTTATTAATTATAATGTTTTTCAACAACTTCTGGGAAAAGGTATTCTCAACTATAACTAAAGGATTGAAGCTTAGCATGAACTAAAACTATTTAGTTTTATTGCCTGACTAGAATAAGAAAGAGACCTTGACCTTGAACTTTACCTGACCAGAATAATAAGAGAGAAAGACCTCAGCTTGAATAAATAGCAACTTTTTATCACCTGAAAACTTGTTGCTTGTATTATATTGATCTCATAAAATTTAATTTGTAGATTAATCTAATTGGAGGAGCAGGGCAAAAATGGAACACTAATCAACTCTTCCTATTATCAATGATATCATCAAACCACATAAGGTAACTAGTAGAAACTTGTTATATTCAACTACTAATGTGTTTCATATTTATCAATTATATTTTGCAATAAATTGTGTTATCTAAATCGAGGTTAAATAGAAGTAATCAAAATTCTCTAGAAAGCCAAAAAATTTGAATAACTATAAGAAAAAATAAACAGTGAGCAAACACTTTGAAAATATAGGTTAATATTTGTTACTTCCTACTATACAAACCTCTATAGATATTCTTACATATAAAAGACTTAAGTACTACACTATTAGTTTTTCTTCCTTGCAGAACTTTCTTGTCATAAATAGAAAAGGTGTTTTTTGACTTTTCTAGGTCACAGAAAGTCAAGTTTTTGTTTGAGGATGAACATAAATAAGAGGGGGTTTGGGAATATCTCTTGAACTATAACTTCAAGTTGCTTTAAGGATAGTGTTAAGATTTTATTGATAAAGAAATAAAAATTTTTTTGCAAATGTTTTTTTTGTGTGTAAACAGAGGATTAGTATAATGACTTTATTGATTATCAAAAAACTGCCAAACTTCGAGACCATGTCTACTCAGTCACGGTCGAGTTACATACATATCACGTGACACATGTTTTACCCAGATATTCGAAAAAAGAAACATCTGACTTCGTGTATTTATTGTGAGGAAGCGGGATTATATTAAAAATCATTAATATGCGTAGATTGAACGGCCCGACTTTGTATAGGTTTTGCCGGTATTTAAATCATAATAATATTCTTCCTCATCATTGTCAGAAAATCCATAGAATCCTCCTTTATCGTTATCATCTTCGTTATTATTGAAGAAATCTTTATAATTTTCATTATCCCTAGTTGCGTCATCTTCGCTGTTATCGAAGTGATCTTCAAAATCGTATTCATAGTCGGAACCACGATCATTACTCACCTCCTGTAAAGATATCGATGTAATAGCATCCTCACTGTGCGAGACTTCTCCACTTATTTTATCAATGTCAGAGGAATTGCTGGTGGTAGTCATTTCTGTTGATTTCGACTCCTGATCGTGAACAGTGTTCACGGTTTTTGATACTGTCATACCGAAGTTACTTGATCTATAATATACCGGATTTCAATATTAGTAAGTCTTGAAATAGTATCGGCACTGTAAGTAACTTGTTTAACCATATGCCATCCTATTCCATTGACTTTTTCCTGGGTTATAGTATCATATTCCCATCCAAATAGCTTAAGAATTTTTCTTGCTTTACTTGTTATTTTGCGTAAATATTCATCAGAAATGCCCGTGAGGTATGGCTTCATTTCATTATAAATCTGGGTTCTTGCAGTCTTATCCTTAAGATTTTTATTTTCGGATATAAGCTTTATAGATCTATCTTCGTATTTTTCAGAATAGCGACCCCAAGATAAAATTTCTTCCTACTTAGCTTTGATAGATTTGTTTCTCGCTTTACTAGCCTGATACAACAAATGAGCAGGCTCAGCAGGTGCAGAATTTGAAGGCTCACTATTAATAATTTCAATATTTCTCCTATTGAGTTTGCCGAAAATCCTTGTAATAAACCTTGTACAACTTCACTTGGCACGTATGTACTAGCTTCAACTAAATTCCCGATAGATTTTTGAGATATATTTTGTATGGATTCTTTTGGTGAAGTCTTTTCTTGATCGTGAACAGTGTTTACGGTTTTCATATCACATGATAATGGAAGTGTCATCAACTCTTCTAATTCTCCTGAAGTGTTTTGTTTTCCAGAAGACACTTCCTGATCTCGAAGCTTCTTTTCCCTAATTCTCTCCATTATTTCGTTACTAACCTGTTCCTTATATACTGTTTCTACAAAATATAGAGTCTCGGTCGAATCATCATCAGTAACGTCTTGTGGTAAATAGGTTGCAGGAGGTTCAGGCTCTGTTCAAGATTGTGCTAGTTCAGGCATGGGATCGGGAGTAATACTAGAATTTGAAGTATTGTCGGGTATATTAGATACCAGAGTATCATAAGAATTTACTGGATATTGTGAAACATCTTCCATAGAAATACTTTTTTCTTTTCCCTATAGAAAGCCTAGTCTCAAGCTCTTTATTCTTTTGCTCTAGTTCCTCAACTCTAGCATCGCGCTTTGTATTCTCTTCTATAACCTGCTTTAACCTCACGTTCTCAGCCTCGATCTCAGAGTACTTTTTTCTAAGCTCAGAAACATCAGCCAAAAGCTTCAAATTTAATTCTTTTAATGAACCGATTTTAGATTCTGTGTTTACCATTTTTTATTCAAGATGTGGATATATTCAAAAGTTCGTTTAATATACATATAAATATGCTATTTATACTAAAAAATTTCCGGAAAATCAGAAATCAATCATGATCGAGAAGTGATTTATTTACATAAATTGAACAATTTGTAGCTGAAATCTATATAGAGAATACTGTTTGAAGTAATTGAGAATAGGCCAGCTTTATGTTTAAATGTCTTGTTTATCTTGCTGCTTAGTTTGGCATATTCCTTCTCTGATAGACTAAGTCATTAAGTAAATATTCGATCTCTGGAAACAAAACCTGGTTGATAATATATCATGTCTGTTTGTCAGTGATTTTCTTCCAGGTAAGTGTTTGGGTTGTGATGACTACTTTTTCTTTAATAATATACTTCTGCTGGGTTTTCTTTCCATCTTCTATTATTCATATCCCTAGAATTCTTATTGCTTCATTTTGCTGCATCAGCAAGATCTGTATTCTATTGAGCTATATGCTTTCACTTTTTTGTTTTGGGGGCACATTGATATAGATCAAGGATAAGGTAATAGTATAATATTTAAAATAAGAGAATATCAAAAGGTTTTTGACAAAAATTGATAATTATTTAAAGATAATTGTATCTATAAAAAAAAAATAAATGATAAAAATTTCTTTTAAATATATAGAAAACATCAGTAATATTATCACAACTTTTTTCCATTCACCTGTAGTACAATAAATTCAGACAATAAAATACAAAAAGTGTACCTAACATAAAGAGATCCAAGAGATAACAATACACAAACAACAGGCTGAACTATAATATAAATAAGATATTCAAAGGGAAGGCCACTCCTATTATCTATAAAAAGTAATAAACAATAGAAAATAAGTATATAGCAATAGTAAAAAATAGAAATGAAGACAAAAAAGAAACTCTTCATCCTCAAAACTATATTTATCTCTAAACAAGCCTATTTAAATAACATCACTATAGTAATAACTAGCAACATGAGCAATAGTGACAGTAGTAACTCCTGGAATAAACAAGTTGAGCAAAAATAACAATATATATTAGTACCCTTGAGACCAGAGTCATTGAAGAAGGCACTAAATAGCAACAAGAAATAAGAATATATGACTCAAATATTTACATAGAGATTAATAATAATGAACTCTCTAATAGTAGCAATATTTGGTAAATAGTAAACAATAGTAAAAAGAAAGGAAAATAGTTTACAGTTCTGACTTTAAGCCTGAGATCCCAACCAAAGTTCTCTTTAATCCTAGATTTAAATATAGTAGAAACAAAGTTAAATTGGAAATCAAAACACCCTTAATTTTTAGAAAAAACATATATAAGAAAATCATATATCTTATGAAAGTATTAACTCATCTTAAGTTCTCTTACTTATTCAACATGAATAATAAATAGAAGAGAATTATATTATTATTATATTTAGTAATTAACAAGTAGTAGATTATACAAGAAATATCATATTGCCTGATACAGACAATCAAAAATTACTTTACATAGAAAAAACTATTCACAAATTAGATAAGAAAAGGAGTATCAAAGCATAAGATATTCCCTTAAATATTAAGTATATAGATGTTTAATAAATATTCTTCAAATTTAAATAAATTAGCAATATCAAGATAACAATTAGACAGATATAGCAATCTGTAACTATATCTATTAGTTTTTATAATAATTAATAAATATATAGTATTGGCTTGACTGCAAATTATAAAAAAAAAATGAAGCAATCTTAGAAATAATAAGAAAAAAGTAGTAAAATTTATATATCAACTCTTATATATAAATATAGATGCTTAAAACAAATATTTTCAAATTACAGAACTTATTTCAAAAAATAAAATAACTGATTATTTATTGAAAAAATTTGAAATAAAATATTTATTATTCATCTCATATTATTTCCAAATTATTAAATTAGAAAAAATATATTTTTTATATTTTTGTCTTATAATTAACTTAACAGTTTTTTGTTTAAAAAATGCATTACCTTTATGATAAATCTGGGATTATTATAATTGCAATTATTATTTCTAAAAAAATAGACAAAAAATTTTCAATAAAAGTTTATTTTTTTTTTGCAAATAATATCAGTAACAACTGAAAAAGTAATTAAAAAACTTATTTCTACTTATATCAAAATTTCTAAAAAAGTTTTTTATAGTAACAAGATAAAATATTGAAAAAAAACACAATACTCGCAAAGAGCCTCCCTAACAAATATGTTATGAAGGTTAACCAGTACAAGAGACTCAATGATTAGCTACACAGATAAAAGAATAATTACAGGTAGTGACAAGGTCTTCAAACCACTCCTAAAAACCAAACTGGCAAACAAGTACAATTCCTTAATTAGCACAAAATACTATTTATCAACTGGAAAGGAGAAAAAGTAAAAGAAATAAAGAAAAACCAGATTAATATACAATACTAAAAGGATATATAGCTCATAAGTACAAAGCTAGGCAATAAAAATAAATAGGAAATAGATATTACAAAAACTTCAAAATTACATAGGAGACAATTAATAAAACTAGATAAAACTCTTCCATAACTGTAACCTCAATAGCAACAATAACAAGAGAAAAAAAGAAGAGCTCCAAAACAGTAATGATATTAATAACAACAATTTTAGCTATGATAGTAATTCAAAGCAAACATTAGAGACAACAAAACAAGAAGATTTTCAAGGAGAACACTATATACTTTATCCAAGTAAATATTTATTAACCTGAAAGAAGTATTTAGCATCTCAACTAAAGAAACAATTAACTATATTCATAATAATCTAAGACATCTGACAATCCTGAAACATGTATATACAGAGTTCTCTATTGGTACACTAACAATTGTAGCTATTTTTGGCAACTACTGTGGTCAAGGGTAAGTGTCTCTTTATTCATGTTTTGTTTCTTTTGTATATTACTAACTCTTGCCATTATTTACAATGATAGTTATTTTTCTAACACATTTAGTACTATCTTTTTGACATATATTGATAAGCTATTTATACTTTTTTAATTAACAATAGACTATCTACTTTATAATAGGCTATACTAATCCTAAACTTTGCTAAATCTTTTATACTTTATCAGACATATATTGTTTTTTTATTGGTACCTGAGCCTCAATTTATAGTTTTTTACCTTAAGAACTCAATATTTTATACCAGACTTTCAGATTTTTGGATTCTAAACCATTAAATATAAATAACGTTATCTACATGACCCATGACACTACCTTGAGGCCTTAACTATATGTGAAATAGAGATTACCAGCAATGAAAACACTAAATTTAGACTAGTACTACTGATTACTACCCTGGAATAGTATAGTTCATCTCAAGAAAAGTATTCCAAAAATATAATAGACATAGTTTTTTTATAAGAACAACTTCTTTATATATGCATATCCAATAGTTAAAACTCATATAGTTAAGGAGAAGAGAAACTAACACAATGCAACACTTGTCAACATACCACAAGAAACTATTACAAGAAAATTACAAGTAATTATTACCAAACATATTGTTATGGGTCACGTGGGTAATGCAATTTATACGTAATGGTCTAGAATCCAAAAACCTTAAAGTCTGGTATGAAAGATTAAGTGTTGCAAGGTAAGAAACTATAGATAAGGCTCAGGTGCTGATAAGGGAACTATGTGTATCAGAAAAAGTATGAAAAATTTAGCAAAGTTTAGGGTTAGTATAGCTAATTATAAAGTAGATAACCCATTGTTAGTTAGAAAAGTATAAATATCTTACCAATGTATACTAAAAAGATAGAGAAGAATATGTTAGGAAAACAGCCCTCCTTGAGAATAGAGCTGAATGTGTTAGAAAAACAGCCCTC